GGAATGTGGCCCTATCTTGCAATAGCCGAAAATACAGAAGCAGAGCTCAGCAGTTAGTCTCTAAAGACTATCTACAGTTTCTATCCCTGAAGCTACTGAGTCAGTGGGAATTAATCTCCAGTAGTCCTGGTCCCAGGCAAAGGAAAATTGCCTTAGCCTCCAGGTCTCCACCTGGAAGCTGAGGTAAGTACCTTGTGTTTTAATCAGGTGCAGTAGCCAAACTATCATAGAAGGGTTGAAATTCAAACAGTTTTTACCAAAGTATAGTTGCCACTATATTTCAATGTAATACTTAAAATTAATGTGTATTCTGCTGTTTTAAGGTGGCATTTATGCTCTATAAATGTCAGAGAAATTGTATATAAAAATAATGCAAGTGTGACCTGAATGCCAATTAACTTTTTTGGAACAGGATAAAATAACTTTACTATTCAATAAGACAATAAAAGTTACCCAGTGAGAAAATGTTGAAGGTAAACACTGAAAAATAGAAGCAAGAAAATTTCTAAACCATTAGAAGAAAGGAAATGTAAAAACAACAACAATCTGTCAAAGTCAGAAAAAAGGCAAGAAAATATGGTAGATCAAAACATAAAATTATAGCCCTGTCAGTCTGGTTCAGTGAATAGAGCATCGGTCTGCAGGATGAAAGGTCTTGGGCTCCATTCTGGTCAAGGGCACGTAGCTTTGTTGTAGGCTGGATCTTCCGGCTCTGGTTGGGGCATGTGCAGGAGGCACCAACTGATGTGTTTCTCTCACATTGATGTTTCTCTCTCTGTGTCTCTCCCCATCCCTTCAACTCTCTCTAAAAATCAATGGAAAAATATCCTTGGGTGAGGATTTTAAAAAATTGACTTCAAGGCAAAATTCATTACTAGGGAAAAAGGAATCACTATCTATCTACACTAATAAAAGAGAAACATGCAAATTGACTGTAACTCTGCTACGCCTACCAGCCATGCCCACCAGACAATCAGGAGCGAGTATGCAAATTAACCGAATCAAGATGGCTACAGTCACTGAGTGATCAGGAGGCTTGGGTTTTCCTGGCAATGGAGGAAGCCAAGCTTCTGCCTGCTCTGGCCAGCCCTGGCCTCTGCTCAAGGCTACAGTTTCAATTATAGATGATAAATAAATCCCAGATACCAGGGCCTCCTCTTGGGTTGCTGGAGCGGGGGTGGGGGGGTGGGAGGGTGGTGTGCAGCCTGCAAACCACCACAGGCCCCTTGCTAAGGCCGACCCACACCCCAAGGAAACCCCCACCCATATCCAGCATACCCTTCAGAGCAATCCGGCTAGTCTTCACCTGTGCACCAGGCCTCTATCCTATCTAATAAAAGAGTAATATGCAAATTGATTGTCACTCCAATACACAAGATGGATGGCCCATGTGGACACAAGATGGCCACCACAAGATGGCCAGCAGGGGAGGGCAGTTGGGAGGGACCAGGCCTGCAAGGTAGGGCAGTTAAACCTGCAGGGGAGAGAAGTTAGGGGTGACCAGACCAGCAGAGGAGGGAAGTTGGGGCAACTGGGCCTGCAGGGGAGGGCAGTTAGGGGCAATCAAGCTGGCAGGGGAGCAGTTGTGCATCAATCAGGCTGGCAGGGAGTGTTTAGGGGGTGACCAGGGTGGCCGGCAGAAGCAGATAGGGGCAACCAGGAAGACAGCCAGGCAAACAGTTGGGAGCCAGCAGGTCTAGATTGTGGGAGGGATGTCTGACTGCCTATTTACGCCCAATCCTAAATGAGGCCTAAATGGGTAGTTGGACATCCCTTGAGGGGTACCAAATTGGAGAGGGTGAGTGCTGGGCTAAAGAACATACCCGCCCTGTGCATGAATTTTGTGCACCAGTCCTCTAGTATATATATTCTAGTATATATATATATATATGCCTAAGGAACTGGCCGACTGGTAGCTATGATGCGCACTGACCACCAGGGGGCAGACACTCAATGCAGGAGCTGCCGAGCTGCATTGACTTGGCAGCTGCGGTTCTTCATGACACACCTGAAACCAGAGAGGAGGGAGACTGATTCTGGGGTGCATCACTGAGAACCTTGCAATCCGGGACCCCTCGGGGGATGTCAGAGAGCCAGTTTTGGCCTAATTCCTGCACACACTATATAGTCTCTCATTCCAGGGCCTTTGCACTTTGTGGTGTCGTGTGTCTGGAACATTATTCCTCCCTTCTCTCTTAAAAAAAAAATATTTTAAAATTGATTTGAGAGAGGAAGGGAGAGGGAGAGAGAGATAGAAGCATCAATGATCAGAGAGAATCATTGATTGTCTGCCTCCTGCACAATCTACTGGGGATTGAGCCTGCAACTTGGTCATGTGTCCTGACCAGGAATCGAACCATGACCTTTTAGTTCATAGGCTGATGTTCAACCACTGAGCCACTCTGGCCTAGCCTGGAGCTTCTCATGACCCACTCCTTCACCTCCTTCAGATTTTTGCTCAGATACCATCTTCCCCGAAAGGCCTTTCTTCTCTTCTTCTTCTTCTTCTTCTTCTTCTTCTTCTTCTTCTTCTTCTTCTTCTTCTTCTTCTTCTTCTTCTTCTTCTCCTTCTTCTCCTTTCTTTCTTTCTTTCTTCCTTTCTTTCTTTCTTTCTTTCTTTCTTTCTTTCTTTCTTTCTTTCTTTCTTTCTTTCTTTCTTTCTTTCTTTCTTTTCTTCTTCTTCTTCTTCTTCTTCTTCTTCTTCTTCTTCTTCTTCTTCTCCTCCTCCTCCTCCTCCTCCTCCTCCTCCTCCTCCTCCTCCTCCTCCTTCTCCTCCTCCTCTTCTTGCTCCTCTTCTTCCTTCTTTATTTTTAAAAAGAAAGGTCCCTTTAAAATATTTTTTTTAAATTTTATTTCAGAGAGGAAGGGAGAGAGATAGAAACATCAGTGATGAGGGAGAATCATTGCTCAGTTGCCTCCTGCATAACCCCTACTGGGGAGGGATGAAGACCGCAAGCCATGCATGCACCCTTGGTTGAAATCAAATCTGGGATCCTCTATTCTGCAGGCCAATGCTCTATCCATTGAGCCAAACCCGCTGGGACTTGACATCCTCTTCTTGATGGCCTATTAAATACTGACCCCTGCCCTAACTGGTATGGACTGAAAGGTCCCAGGTTCAATTCCCATCAAGGGCATGTACCTTGGTTGTGGGCACATCCCCAGTAGGGGGTGTGCAAGAGGCAGCTGATGGATGGTTCTCTCTCATTGATGTTTCTAACTCTCTATCCCTCTCCCTTCCTCTCTGTAAAAATCAATAAAATAGCCGAAGCCTGTTTGGCTCAGTGGTAGAGCGTTGGTCTGTGGACTGAAAGGTCCCAGGTTCGATTCCGGGCAAGGGCGTGTACCTTGGTTGCGGCTACATCCCGGGTAGGGGGTGTGCAAGAGGCAGCTGATAGATGTTTCTCTCTCATTGACGTTTCTATAGTAGCTCTCTATCTCTCTCCCTTTGTCTCTGTAAAAAAATCAATAAAATATATATTTTTAAAAATCAATAAAGTATAATTTATAAAGTTCTGACCCTGTCTCTCACTTCCCTGCTATATTTTCTTTAAAAAAATATTGCTAATTCATTTTGTTTATTTGCAAGTTCTATGAGGGCAGGGCCTCATGAAGTTTGTTCATGTCCCCAGATCCTCCTGTCCCAATCTGGCCAGGGATCCTTCTTTCTTCACCCTCTTTCCTCCTTCTTGGAAGAGTGAGCAGAGCTAGGCCAGAGCTGGGGGAGCTTGGTGGCTCAGGCCCCAGAGGAAGCTCAGATGCTAGGGACTTGGGTTATAGTTGAGAAAGAACTGAGAAAAAGGATCTTCTGGATCTGGGTGTGCAATGGTGGAGACACCATCCACTAAGGAAAATCCTGATGCCTGACGTGGAAGGGTGCATGGGCAGAGGATTAGACTGTATCTCTTATCCATTCTGGTCAGGACTCATTTCCCAAATGAAAGAAATGAGGAAGTTAGGAAGGCTGAAAGGAAGCGAAAAGGGAGGAGACACACCCTGGAGGAGGAGAGCAGAGCTGGCTTGATATCTATCACTCCAAACACACAGTCTCAGCCTGTGATTTGATTATTATTTACTGCCCAAAGTCAAGGAAATGAGAGATTCCTGATTCTAGACTCTTGGGCTTTCAGACACAGAGACCAGCAGGACTCCAGTCACTTATCCAATTCCTCCCCCAGGGACCTCCACTCCACTCTCCAGGATTTCATTTCATTCAACTTTGCTCATTGCTGCGCGGCAGCCCCAAGAATCACAGCCTTCGGATTTTGCACAGGTAACTGGGTTGGGGATGCAGGTGGGACCAAGGGGACAGGGAGGGAGTTAGAGAAAGCAGGGAGAGGGGGCTGTGGGTCTCAGGAGAGATTGGATAGGAAGAGATATAAAAAGACAGCTTGGCAATTTAATTAATGGCCAAGTGGAAATTTTAGACTCTATTCACTTAACTGGATTCGGGTTGCAATATGGCAGCCAAACCTCGGTCACAAGCGGAGGCTTACTCAGCCCCATCTCCAGTCCCATATTTAGCCCCCACCTAGCCTCAGACCTTACCCCATTAGAAATACCATCTTCTTCTTTAACCCCCAAACAGCTTCAACTCCCAAGTCAACATGAGTCTTAACAAAAGCCCCAAATTAACTTTCTTCTGTTTCCAACTTCAGGGCCAAGCTGAAGTAATGACACTGATCAAAGGAGGAGATTCAAACTCAATTGCATCCCCGATTTTAGACCCAATCCTAGTCACATATTCAGCTCCAACTTTACCTTCACCTTGATTGGCACATTCAACCCAACTCAGCCCAAAGACCAATCCTGATCCCACTTCCAACCTCTGCTGAAAACCCAGGCCCATTCCCATTCCTCTCCCTAACCCTTGGCTCATCCTCAACCCGGACTTCTCTCACCTCAACATCAGCCCTGACTTCAGCTCCAACCTCCCCCATCCCCAACTCCATCCCTAGCCTGGTCTCTGGCCCTGCCTCCATTTCAGAGTTGGTCCAAGGATGTCGATGAAATATGAAGATCTCCAGTCCTTGGAGAGTGAGAAGAAAAGCCAGGGTTCTAGAAATGGTAAGAGGAAAAGAGAAATGGTGTCTCCTAAAATACTTTTGTTAATGTGTTTAGAAGGATCTGCGCTGTCATGGTATACCTGGGTATATCTGCACCTCTACCATGTGCACTGTAGGGTCCCCCACTCAGGGGGTTCCAGTATAAAGAGGATTCACAATCCTCTGAAGGACAGGATCAGGGTGGACCAAAGCAGTCCTGCTATACTCTGGGGAAGGTCATGAGCATTTATACTGGGAGGGTGAATAGTCATGTTTGGGAGAAAAACGTTATCTGACAATGCAGATAAGCACGAGCCTGCTGAGGGCCTGGCTGCCCCGGTGCACACTGTGTCCTCCTGCCCCTTGTCCCAGCCCCAATGATAAGAACTTATATATTGCCATGGTGTTGACATAGGGATGAGGGGCCCAGGTGACTGCAAGAGGGGTCAAATGCTGGGCATCTCCTGCACCACAACCTCTCCCCAGCTTTCCCTGCACCACCCTTCATCCCTGACAGGTCCCTATAACCCTCTCCTCCTCCCCTGTCCTCAACCTCCATGTCCTGATGTCCCCTCCTCTTGCAGGGCTGCCTCCTCTCCCAGCCTTCCTGCAGCATCTCTGCTCTGGACCCTGCCCCCTTCTGCTCACTCTGGGCCTCATCCTTCTCCTGATGATTGGCATCATTGTCATTGGATCCAAAAGTGAGTGTCACAGGACAGGCAGGGATGGGGGCAATAGTGGGTACAGTAATCCAGGCACTGATGATGATCATGGTGGGTAAAGATGGCTGCTGGCTCTGTTACTTACTCATGGGTAATGTAGTCCAAGTGCCTGAGTGTCCTCCTCTGCAAGCTTGGATAACAACAGAGCCTGTCCCTTCAAGTCGGGTGGCTGTGAGGACCCAATGAGCCAATGTATGTCCAGTGCCCTGCTCAGTGACAGCATAGAGAGGACTGGCTGAGAGTAGCACTCATGGTCCCACCTGCCCGATCAGGTGCCAGGATTCAGAGTGATGTGGAGACCCTGAGAACAACTTTCAGCAACTTCACTTCCAACACGGAGGCTGAGGTCCAGGCACTGCACTCCCAGGGTGAGCCTGGCTGGAAGGGGCTCTGGTTTGGAGGGGTCATGGTGGGGGAGAGGGGAACTCAATCCTGAACACTGAGCCTCCATGTTCTCCAGGTGGCAGTTTGCAAGCAACAATAACATCTCTGAAAGCTATGGTGGAAAACCAGGAGCAGGAACTGCAGGCAGGTGAGAGGCTCCTCCAGGAGTGAGTGTGCAAGGGTGGGGGCTGGGTTCTCAGGACAGAGGTGGGGTGGGAGCAGCCAGGGTGCTGAGTGCCCTCCCCTCCAGCCCGCAGCTTGAATGACAAGGTGTTTTCTCTGGAGAGCAAGCTGGAGAAGGAGCAGAAGGAACTCCAAGCAGGTCAGGCCTCTTCTCCTTGCCCCTGGGCCTGAAGTGGTGGGAGGACATGGGGGGCCCTCAGCTGGGCCCCTGCATTGTCCCCACTGCCTCTCTGTGTGTCCCAGGCTATTCTGAAATGCTCCTGAGAGTCCAGCAGCTGGTCAGAGACCTGCACAGCCTGCACTGTCAGATGGCTGCGCTCCAGAGCAATGGTGAGTGGTGTGTGGGGCAGCGCCTGGTCCCTTATCTTGCTCATGTCTGGCAGCACATCAGATCCTCCTCTCTTTCCATTTCAGACTCTCACAATGCCTGCTGCCCCGTTGGCTGGCTGGAGTATGAAGGCAGCTGCTACTGGTTCTCCAGCTCTGGGAAGCCTTGGCCCGAGGCTGAGAAGTACTGCCAGCTGGAGAATGCCCACCTGGTTGTCATCAACTCCCGAGAGGAGCAGGTGAGGGCTCAGGTCTGAGCTCAGGTCCCGAGAACTGGCCCCGCTAAAGAAATGGTTCTCCGCCCTTGCTGCACATGGGCATCACCAGGGAGCTTTAAAACCATGGGGATGTGAGCCACACCATGAGGGATGTATAATCATGGGCCACACAGTGACATGTCAGCAAGGACAGACCAAAGAGAGAACCAAAGTCATCTCATAAGATTAGACTAGAGTCAAAAAATTCCTTTCACCTTGTGGGCAGTAGGTAGTGCAGCACATTGCTCAGGTGTGTGTGTGCTGATGCTGGTGTGAACAGACCTACCTCACTGCCAGCCATATGTATAAAAGCCCAGCACTTACAGTTATGCACAGGATAGTGTTCTTGAAAATGGTAATAAACAACTATTTCTGATTTATGCATTTACTAGAGGCCTGATGCACAAAGATTCGTGCATGGGGGGGGGGCGGTCCCTCAGCTCCACCTGCACCCTCTCTAATCTAGGAGTTTCTGTCTGTCTTTGCAATCATATGAGTGAATTGTCTGAGACCCCAACCCAGTTTGGTTTGTTGCTCACAGAATAATAGAGGCATTTCCTCCACCCCCACCCTTTGCTTCATTGGTGGAGATTTCCTGGAAGTTTTAGGATATCTTCCCTTTAATTTTTCCCAGACACTCTGATTTTACTTATGTCTCTCACCTTTGCTTTCCCTCCATCCCCCACCACAACCATAACTTGCTCCAGGCTCACTTTGCTCTAGTGTCTAGGATATCCGTCTGCCACCAAAACTACAATTCCCAGCATTCCTTGTGCTCCCCCTGCTCTTGGTTTTCCCTTCCTGCTCTGTCTCTGTCCCATGGTCTCCCACTCTGCCAAGTCCTCCAAGCCGCCAACTCTCCCTCCCTCTCTGCTCTCTACCCAGTACCTGTGTATGCAAATTAACCACCATCTTTGTTGGGTTAATTTGCATACGCACTCCTGATTGGCTGGTGAGTGTAGCCGAGGTATGGTCAATTTACATGTTTCTCTCTTATTTTTTTTATTTATTTTTTTTTTTTATCAATCTTTATTGTTCATATTATTACAAAGGTTCCTCATTTCTTCCCCCCTCCACCAGGTTCCCACCCCACCCTCCATCCCCCCCCCCATCCCCCATTGTCCTCATCCATAGGTGCAGTTTATGTTCAGTCTCTTCTTCCCTCAATTTCCCCAATAGTAAATCCCTTTTCAGATAGTAAATCAGTTACTTAGCATTTTCTCATATCAATAATACCTCCACATGCCCAATGATACACTTCACACAAAAGACATTTCCCACTAGGTCAACCAGCCTCATCCAGGCCCCACCCAAGGCACTCACAGATCAACACCACAGTCCTAAACTAACTCAACACATCCAGATCTAAGCCTTCATCACTTGATTCAGCAGACCCTCAAGTTCCCAAGAAAGTTTCCAGCCATGTCTGAGAAGCAGCCGTGGGGCAGGGGCCGGCAAGGAGCGAGCTGTTCTGGGCCTGGCTGCTCAGGGCCTGGCCTCTGTTGCTCTGGTTCATTCCACAACCAGCTGCTCCGGGTCTGGTCACTGCCGCTCCCGACCTAGTTGCTCTGGACTTGGCTGCTGCTGCTCCGGGCCTGGCCGCTCCCAGCCTGGCCGCCGCTGCTCCGGGCCTGGCCGCACCCGACCCGCCTGCTCCCCTGGGCCTGGCCGCTCCCAGCCTGGCAGCCGCTGCTCCGGGCCTGGCCGCACCAGCCCCGCCTGCTCCCCCGGGCCTGGCCGCTCCCAGCCTGGCAGCCGCTGCTCCGGGCCTGGCCGCACCCGACCCGCCTGCTCCCCCGGGCCTGGCCGCTCCCAGCCTGGCAGCCGCTGCTCCGGGCCTGGCCGCACCCGACCCGCCTGCTCCCCCCGGGGCCTGGCCGCTCCCAGCCTGGCAGCCGCTGCTCCGGGCCTGGCCGCACCAGCCCCGCCTGCTCCCCCGGGCCTGGCCGCTCCCAGCCTGGCAGCCGCTGCTCCGGGCCTGGCCGCACCCGACCCGCCTGCTCCCCCGGGCCTGGCCGCTCCCAGCCTGGCAGCCGCTGCTCCGGGCCTGGCCGCACCAGCCCCGCCTGCTCCCCCGGGCCTGGCCGCTCCCAGCCTGGCAGCCGCTGCTCCGGGCCTGGCCGCACCCGACCCGCCTGCTCCCCCGGGCCTGGCCGCTCCCAGCCTGGCCGCCGCTGCTCCGGGCCTGGCCGCACCCGACCCGTCTGCTCCCCCGGGCCTGGCCGCTCCCAGCCTGGCAGCCGCTGCTCCGGGCCTGGCCGCACCAGCCCCGCCTGCTCCCCCGGGCCTGGCCGCTCCCAGCCTGGCAGCCGCTGCTCCGGGCCTGGCCGCACCAGCCCCGCCTGCTCCCCCGGGCCTGGCCGCTCCCAGCCTGGCAGCCGCTGCTCCGGGCCTGGCCGCACCCGACCCGCCTGCTCCCCCGGGCCTGGCCGCTCCCAGCCTGGCAGCCGCTGCTCCGGGCCTGGCCGCACCAGCCCCGCCTGCTCCCCCGGGCCTGGCCGCTCCCAGCCTGGCAGCCGCTGCTCCGGGCCTGGCCGCACCAGCCCCGCCTGCTCCCCCGGGCCTGGCCGCTCCCAGCCTGGCAGCCGCTGCTCCGGGCCTGGCCGCACCCGACCCGCCTGCTCCCCCGGGCCTGGCCGCTCCCAGCCTGGCAGCCGCTGCTCCGGGCCTGGCCGCACCAGCCCCGCCTGCTCCCCCGGGCCTGGCCGCTCCCAGCCTGGCAGCCGCTGCTCCGGGCCTGGCCGCACCCGACCCGGCTGCTACCCCGGGCCTGGCCACTCCCAGCCTGGCAGCCGCTGCTCCGGGCCTGGCCGCACCCGACCCGCCTGCTCCCCCGGGCCTGGCCGCTCCCAGCCTGGCAGCCGCTGCTCCGGGCCTGGCCGCACCCGACCCGCCTGCTCCCCCGGGCCTGGCCGCTCCCAGCCTGGCAGCCGCTGCTCCGGGCCTGGCCGCACCTGACCCGGCTGCTCTGGGCCCGGCTGCCCCGGGCCCGGCCGCACCGAGCCTGGCCACTCCCGACCTGGATGCTCTGGGCTTGGCTACTGCTGTTCTGGGTCTGGCTGCTCCCACCCCGGCTGCTCTGGGCCCGGCTTCTTTGGGCCCGGCCACTCCGGGTCTGGGTCTTCCTGGACTGGCCACCCTGGGCTTGGCCGCCTCCGCCTCATGCCTGGCTGCCACTGCCCCAGGTCTGGCTACTCCAGTGCTGGCTGTTGATGCTCTGGTTCTGGCTGCTGTTGTTCTGGGGCCTGGCCGTTGCTGCTCCGGGTCTGGCTGCCACTGCCTTGTGCCTGGCCACTCTAGGCCTGGCCGTCGCTGTTCCAACATTCTGTCCTTTTTTTTTCTTTTTAAAACGCATTTATGTTGCAATGTTGGCTGGTGAGTTGGGTTCTAACTTAGTCTTTGATTTTTCAAGATCTTCTTTGTATTCTTTCTTAAGTAATTTTACTATTTTTTGCTCTCACTTGATTTCTTCACATTGAGAACTTCTTTGGTTTCTTCCTCCTTGTCCTGGGAGCTCAGCAGGTTGGCCTGTGGCACCCCTTTGTTCTCCGCGGGCTCCTGTGCTGCTTCAGCCTGTTGGCGGGACGGCGCCGCCCAGGAAGCAGCCCCCGGCCTTGGCTCCATTGCCCGAGCTCAGTGGTCAAAGGCTCAGGGGCACCCACGCCCCCAGGGGCCCCGTGGCCCGCCTCCTTGCTGGTGCCCCGTTGGCTGGAGTCCGGCAGGGGCTTCCGCTCCCCTCCGCGTTCCCCCAGCCTAGAGCTTTTTTTTTCTCCTTCCCGCTAGGGAAGTCCAGCATCAGTGTCAACAGACTGTCCTCTGCGCGCAGTTTGCGCGAGTCCCACAACTGTCCTCTGCGCACAGTTTGCGAGAGTCCCACAGACTGTACTCTGCGCGCAGTTTGCGAGAGTCCCACAGACTGTACTCTGCGCGCAGTTTGCGTGAGTCCCGGGGGCCCGGCCTTTCGCCACTCTCCCCGGACTCCACCTCACAGCCCTGAGCCTGGGTCCCCAGGGATTGGCCCAGAACTGGGGTTCGGAGCAGTCCGGATTGAGGCTCAGCGCCGCCGGAGGCCTTGTTTCTTCCGGCTAGGGCAACCCAGCATCAGAGTCAACATTCAGTCCTCTGCGCGCATTGCGCGAGACTCCCGGGGCCCTGCCTTTCGTGTTTTTCCGCCTCACGGCCCTGTCTCCTCCCACCGGAGCCTGGGTCCCCAGGGTCTGGCCCATAACTGGGGCTCAGCGCTGCCGGTTTGGGGGGGCTCAGCGCTGCCGGTTCGGGGGTTCAGCCCAGGCTGGGGGTTTTATTTCCTTCCTGCTAGGGAAGGAAAGGCGGCTCCCCGCCCTCTCCTCCTCTCTGGCTGCAACCTCTCCGTGCGCGCGTGCGGGCGGGCAGGCGCACGCAGCATGTCTCCGTACCTTAGGCTTTTTTTCAGCTCCTCTGATTTTCTTTCTGGTTTTCTCTTTCCTTCTTGTTGTAGAAATTTCAGTCAGTCGACTACCTGTAGCTCTGGGCAATGTCCACTCTACATTTTAGTTGTATTCCATTGAAATTGTTGTGTGCTGCCGCGGCTAGATGTCTACCCGAGCAGCCATCTTGGATCCTCCTCTGTTTCTCTCTTATTATATAGGATAATACTACTAGAGGCCCAGTGCACAGATTTGTGCACTGGTGGGGTCCCTCAGCCTGGCCTGTGCCCTCTTGCAATCTGGGACCCCTCGGGGGATGCAGTAGTGTGTGAAGTGGCTGGCAGCTGGGGAGGAGCCCAAGTCCAGGCTGGGCTCTGCACTGCTCCACTCATCCTAGCCCCGCTGTGCTGCTGCTGCTTGGTAGCACTGCTGCGGAGGCGGAGAGGCGAGCACCGCTGCAGCTGTGCTCACCAGTCATGAGCCCAGTGTCTGGCTCCTGTCGGTCAGCCGAGTGGCACTCACACTTTGGGGGCACACTGACCACCAGAGGGCAGCTCCTTCATTGAGCATCTGCCCCCTGGAGGTCAGTGTGTGAAATAGTGACCGGCTGGTTGTTCCGTTGTTCTGTCAACCGGTTGCATAGAGTTAAATATATATATATATATATATATATATATATATATATATATATATATATATATATATTATTATGTTAGAGTGTATTCTTTCTACTTATAAAAAGAGTTTGTTGTTTAACCGTATGCTGTGTTTTGCTGGCAGGAGCCTCATATCATACACCCGTGTTTACTGTACCCCTTTTGTGTGTCCTTTCTTCTTGTGTTTGATTTTATCATCTCTTGTGGTTTTGTAGAGTAACACACCATATAGACTGATAGCCCAGGAGCAATAGGCTACAGCCAAGGTGTGCAGTAGGCTACCCCCTCCCAGGTTGTTAAGTGCACTCTATGATGTTCACACAATGATGGAATCACCAGTCTCTGTTACTGAAGCAGAGCGTGACAGAAATTGGCCTGGGCATTGGGATAAACATCCTAAATCTCCTCAGCTGATATAATGTACATGTAACGTTTAGAACTCCTAGGCCAAGGAATCGGTTGGGATGGGGAGAAGACATTGTTGTCATTCTGTCGTCCCAGTTTTTCGTCCAGGCGCACATAGGCTCCTCCTACACCTGGATGGGCCTCAGCGATCGTGAAGGAGCCTGGAAATGGGTGGATGGAACAGACTATGAGACCAACTTCAAGTGAGTACTCTTGCTTCCTGTGCTCTTCCTCCCCTTTCAGTTCTACTCCTCTAGGATCTGACCTACAGCCTCTTCTCCTCAGCCCTCACTCTGCTCCATCTGACTTTCCCAACTTGCCGTGTTCTTCCCTCTCAGGAACTGGAAGCCAGGACAGCCAGACGACTGGCAGGGGCACGGGCTCGGTGGAGGTGAGGACTGTGCCCACTTCCACCCGGATGGCAAATGGAATGACGACGTCTGCCAGAGGCTCTACCGCTGGACCTGTGAGGCCAGCATTAGCAAGTCCAGATAGGAGTGTTTCTTAGAGCTGTTTCCTGTGGACCATTGAGCCATGGAAATGGCAGGGATGGGGGAGGGAGTCTTCCCCAGACACCCTTAATAAGATCTCTGTGGGAGAGAACAAGCTCTGGGAGATTGGAGCATTGCCATCATTTTGAATTTTTTTCTCCTTAACTTTCAAAGATTATATAGAGTTCCTAAGGTGCTTTTAAAAATTAAATTTCAGCCTTAACCAGTTTGGCTCAGTGGATAGAGCGTCGGATTGCAGACTGAAAGGTCCCAGGTTTGAGTTCCGTTAGAGGAATGTACTTTGGGTGTAGTCACATCCCCAGTAGGGGGTGTGCAGGAGGCGGCTGATTGATGTTTCTCTCTCATCGATGTTTCTAACTCTCTATCTCTCTCCCTTCCTCTCTGTAAAAAAAATTAATAAAATATATTTTAAAAATTAAATTTCAGCTTTATTGAGGTATAATTGACATATAAAACTTTAAGTTACTTAAGTATACATGATGGTGATCATATATATATATATATATATATATATATATATATATATATTAAAGAAAAGATCCCATCTAGTTAATGAACACATATATAATCTCACATATTTATCTTTTTTGTACGAATACTTAAGTTCTATTTTCTTAGCAAATTACACTTATACAATATAGTGTTATCAACTATATACAGTGTCATCAACTATAGTCACCATGTCTTACATTAGATCCTCAGACCTATTCATTTTATAACTGAAAATTTGTATCCTTTTACCAATCTTTCCATATTTTATACCCTCACCACCCAGGCAACCATTTTTCTACTATTTCTTACTATGAATTTGATATTTTCAGATTCCACATATAAGTGATGCCATGCAGTATTTGTCTTTCTTGGTCTGGCTTATTTCACTTGGTATAATGCCCTCAAAGTCCATTCATGTTGTGGCAAATGGCAGGATTTCCTTCTACTCGTGACTTAATAATGTTTCATTGCTCATATGTACCACATCTTCTCTATCTATTCACCCATTGATGAACACTTAGGTTGTTTCCATATTTAGGCTATTGTTAATATACTGCAATGAACATGGGATGCAGATATACCATTTTCATTTCACTTGCATATATTCCCAGAAGTGGGATTGTTTGATCACTTGGTAGTTCTATTTTTAATTTTTGCAGATAGCTTCATATTATTTTCCATACTGGTTGCACCAATTTACATTCCCACCTGTAGTATATAAGAGTTCCCTTTTTCTGAAACTGATTTGGCTCAGTGAATAGAGTATCAGCTTGGGGACTGAAAGGTCCCAGGTTTGATTCCGGTCAAGGGCATGTACCCTGGTTACGGGGACATCCCCAGTTGGGGGTGTGCAAGAGGCAGCTGATCGATGTTTCTCTTTCATCGATGTTTCTGACTATCCCTCTTTCTTCCTCTTTGTAAAAAATCAATAAAATATATTTTTTAAAAAAAGAGTTCCCTTACCCTATAAGATTTGTAACCTTAAAAATAAACTTTATTGAGATACAATTCTTACGCAGTAAAATGAACTCCTTGAAAGAGTAGAGATGACTTTTGACAAATATAAATACCTAGGTAACTACCACTCCAACAAGGTGTAGAAAATTTCCTTCACCCCCAAAAATCTCCCAGAATTTCATATAAATGAAACCACACAGTATATACTCTTTTGTGAAACCTTATGCATTTCACAAAGACTGATTTTTAGCAACCATAAAATAACAGAATGAGAAAGGTAGGTGAGGCTTTGGAAAGTCCTATGTTATAATGAATAGAGCATTTTCTTTCCTATAGATTGAGTTACATTATTTTCTGTCACTTAAAAGCTGTTTAAACTTAGGGTGATAAGGAAAGATGACTCTAACTTTTTTGAATATCCCAAAGTTGTTAGGAGAAGCAGATAACACCCCCAGTTGTATTGGTTAGCTATTGTTAACAATCTACCCCAATTAGCAGCTTAAAACAATAACTATCTGTTATAGCCAATGAGTCTATAGATCAGCTGGGTGTTTTTGGTCTGGCAAGACTTGACTCACCTTAGCTCAGTGGTTCTCAATCTTGCTAATGCCGCGACCCTTTAATGCAGTTCCTCATGTTGTCGTGACCCCCAACCTTAAAATTATTTTCATTGCTACTTCATAACTGTAATTTTGATACTGTTATGAATCATAAATATCTGATATGCAGGATGTCTTAGGTAACTCCTCTGAATGGGTCATTTGACCCCCAAAAGGGTCACGTCGAGAACCACTGTGTTAGCTGGTCTCATTCATGCATTTGAGGCCAGCTGGTGGGCAGACTGGGAGCTGGTCTAGGACAGCCTCACTTCCATGTCTGACATTTGGCTGACTACGGGACAATGCGGGTGACTGGGCCATTTTAGGCTAGCCTGGGCTGATTGGCATTATGCCTTTGGGCAGGGTTCCAAAGAGTAACTGGGAGAGTGCAAGGACTCTGCAGTCTTAGTTTTGGAACTGAAGCATCACTTCTGTTAACTCCTGTTGGCCAAAATCACAAGGCAGCCCCACTTCTAGGAGTCAGGGAATACAACAGCTTCTGATGGGAGGAGCTACAAAGTGACATTGTGGAGAGAATGGATGTAGGGAGGCATGGAGATTGTTATGTTTTTCAATAAATTTGGCATACAGGGGAAGCATATTGGGACATCCCGTAAAGAACCAGTTCATAACTAAGTGCTCCCATTACGAGAGGCCAGGATCCATGCATTGTGGTATTACTTGCACCCAGACAATTGCCTGGCATATAGAAAGGTGTTAGTTAAAATTAATTAACAATCAGTTGGCATGGCTCAGTGGCTGAACATTAACCTTGGAACCAGAAATTCACAGTTCGATTCCTGGTCAAGGCCTATGCCTGAGTTACAGGCTCCATCCCCAGTTTGGGGTGTGCAAGAGGCAGCTGATTAATGATTCTCTCTTATCGTTGATGTTCCTATATCTTTCTCCCATTCCTTTCCTCTCTGAAATCAATAAAAATATTTTTAAAATAAGAGGTTGATATCAGAAGGAAGGTATGGGAAGGACAAAATTATCCCCTGGAGGCAGCACAACTTCACTTTTCTCTGCCCACCAGCATCACATGAAAATCATCAGAGTGGGTGCTTGATGAATCACTGAGAACCTTCTTCATGCAGGTCCCATACTGCCAGAAGCTCTTTCAGTGACTGAACCTCACAGGCAGCTAGAATGCAGAGGCAGTGGAAGCAGATCTTGGCATGTCATAGGCCTTTTGCTGACCTGTTCCTGGGCTTGGTGATGTTGGAAGCCAGATTTGGTGCACATCTTGACCCCTCCTATGCACACCCAGGCCCAACAGAGGCAACCACAAATGGTGGATTGCTTTGTTGCTCCAAACAAGTAACCCAGGGCCAGCCACAGACAGCATCTGACATTGACATGCACCAGAGTCCCTCCCAGGATGTCCCAAAAGAAACACATCCAGTGGTGGGCTTCAGACCACATCAGAGCAGGACCCAAAAGCATCATATTCAAAGGGAGGCCTCAGAAGGCAGCAGATCCTGCTGGAGTGAATTCCATTTAATGTGGTTAGTACCCAGACAGCATCTCACACTGAGATTAATTCTCACAGTCAGCCAGCCTGAGGTTCAAATCTATACATAGAGGAGCCAAGAGCAATAAAAACTTAACTACAACAGGATAGCTTATATAACCCACACAAGGAACATTCATAGAGCACCTTGCTCAAGTTATAAGGGAGACTGTGTGACTGAGTCCCACAGGACAACTACTACATAAGACCGCCATACCAAGACTGGGAGTAATAGCAGACCTGCCTAATGCATAGAAACAAATACAGAGAGGCAGCCAAAATGCGGAGACAAACCTGTCAGCATTGCTAAATGGTTAGAGCATCAGCTCACACACTAAAGGGTTGTGGGTTTGATTCCTGGTCAAGGGCATGTACCTGGGTTACAGGTTCAATCCTGGCCCCATTAGGAGCACAGGTGGGAGGCAACCAATTGATGTCTCTCTCTCTCTCTCACAATGGTGCTTCTCTCTCTCTCTTCTCCCACCCCACTCCCTTCCACTCGCTCTAAAAATTAGTGGAAAAAATATCCTTGGATGAGTATTAACAACACCAATAAAAAATTAAAAATGGGGAGACAAAAACATCTCCAAATAAAAGAACAGGAGAAATTCCCAGAAAAAGAACTAAATGAAATGGAAACAAGCAATCTACCAGATATAAAGTTCAAAACAACGATTATAAGGATGCTCAGGGAACTTAGGGGAAGAACGGATGAACTCAGTGAGAACATAAACAAAGGGATAGTAAGCACAAAAGAGCACATAGAAACCATGATAAAGAACCAGTCAGAAGTGAAGAATGCAATATCTGAAATGAAGAATTACACTTCAAAAGGAGGTATAAACTATGGGTTAGGTGTAGCAGATTATCAAATCAGTGATTTGGAAGACAAGGTAGCAGGAAACATCCAATCAGAACAGAAAAAGAAAATAATAATTTAAAAAATAAGGATAATCTAAGAGAGCTCTGGGACACCATAAAGGATAACAGTTTCCATGTTATAGGGGTACCAGAAGGAGAAGAAAGGGAGCAAGAAATTGAGAACCTTTTTGAAGAAATAATGACGGAAAACTTCTTGAACCTGGTGAAGGAAAGGAAAGGTTACTTCCAGGAACGTGGCAAGGGAGTCAGACTTTGGGAGGAGAGGCTTACCAAACAGAACTACAGCAGGGATTCAAAGGAAAATTCTCCAAGATTACCCATGTGGACAAGTTTTTTCAGTTTGCCTGTGATGGCAAAACAGTGCTTCTCTCACACTATTACCATGTTCACAAAATGTGATGACATAGCTTTAAGCATCGTCATTGCAAAAGTCAGGAACAAGTTGCATTTTCTAGGGAGTCAGTGGTATATGGAAAATGCTCGAAGTTTAATTTATTTTGGAGATTAGAAGGTGAACTATGGAGCCCACATGCTAGTTGT